AACTTGGACTGCTTAGCAAGACTGACTCAAAAAATCAAAACAAACACAAAACTCCAAAAGAACAAAATAAACAAAATCTTATTCTGTTCCTTAGGTGTAAGATTTTATGGAAACTTAAGTTCTCTGAGCCTAAGTTCCTCATTTTAAGAAATAAAATATACCTTCTTGAAAGAATTTGTTTTTTGAGGGGTATCTGGGGTCAAACTCAGGACCATGTACTTTCAAGGCAGGTGAAGGCACCACTGAGCTAATAATTAATCCCCAGCCCTTGAAAGAATTATTATGAAGATTTGCCTAAGGTGCATAGAGAAATCCTGAACAGAGTTGATTCCCACACTTTCCCCTTTTCCTTGCCTTCTTCATTTTCAGGATAGCTGGGGGGTGTGAGGGCAATCTGGCTGTGATATCTGTCACCCCATCGATCACCAGGCTGATCCTGCTGGCTAGGTAGATACTGCCTTTGTCACTGCTCCGTGTGTGTCCCTCATGAAGCTCCAGGCTCAGTTGAAGAAGATGACCACCTCTGATAGATGGAAGACCATTTCCTTGGTCAAGTATATATAAGTAGCTTTGCTCCCCTGCTAGAACCTCCAAACAAGCTCTCAAAGATAGCTAGGTTTTACATACTTTGTCAGCCTTCCCTTTTTCTCATTAGGCTAGGAAAGAGGGCAAACATTTTGTTGTCTGCTGCAGTTTATAAAATCCCTACTATCCTTTTCAAAATATTAATAGCCCTTTGTGCCAAGAGGAGACCCGACATTGATGTCATTTGTGCAGACACTGGAACTGGAGACTGTAAATCCCCAGGAGCTAGCCAATCTGCAGCTGAGGGATTTGGAAATGGAGTTTTCCACTATATGATTTTAGTTTTCTTACAGATATTATAAAACTGCTCATTGGCAAGGGCCCGAGACAGTAAGATCTGAGGAAAAAAATTGTATTCAGAAGACTGCATTAGGTCACTAATATGTGGAAGGTGAATATCTACTACTATCTTGTTTTCAGTTCCTAAGTCATCCTGAAGCAGCTCACTGTTCTGTCCATCATTTTTACCTTAGTCTGCATTGAGCCCAGCTGATAGGGACAGCCTTCTCTATCATTTGTGCTTTTAAGTGCTTGTTGGCACAGACTTTGCACTTTTTTTCATCTTTAAAAAATTGGGGAATACTGTGCAAATGCCTGTCACTTTGGACCTTAGACTTTGCTCAGGCCTCAAGACTCCTTGACAGGCCCACCCATAATGGAGTTACATTTGAATAATTAACATCCTGTAGTGTCCTGGTTTTCCATGAGTGAATTAAAGTGGGAATAAAGTAGGTGGATTGGAAAAACAGTTTTGGGAAATCAATATTTTACATGGAAAAAAAGAACAATTGGAAATAGACTAAAATGGTTATCTTTAGATAGAAGAACTGTTAGTACAACATCTTTTCATTATTCTGGGATCTCTACATTTTCTAAATTGAATATATATTGTTTTTATGGAAGGGATTAAAAATATTTAAAATTGCCACTTTTTTTTTTTGGTACTGGGGATCGAACCCAGATCCTTGTGCTTGCGAGGCAGGCGGCAGAACTGCTGAGCTAAATCCCTGGCCCTAAAATTGCCACTTTAAATAACTGATTAGTAAACTGAGTGTGGTAGTGCATGCCTGTAATCCTAGCACTTGGGAGGCTGAAGCTGGTGGATTATGAGTTCGAGGCCAGTCAAGGCTGCATAGTAAGACACTGTCTTAAAAATCAAACAAAAGAATATATACTTATGAAGCTCAGCAGGTGTAAAAGTGAAAAAGCAATCCTTCCTCCCCACCCCAGTCCTTAGTTTTAGCAGAGGCGACTGTAGAGCCCTTGGGAGGATAAGGCAAGAGGATCAAGAGTTCACAACTAGGGCTGGTGGTTTAGTTCAGTGGTGCTGCACCTGTCTCACAAGTGCAAGGTCCTGAATTTGATCCTCGGTACCAGAAAGGGGAAAAAAAAAGTTCACAGCTAGCTTAGGCTACCTATTGAGACTTTGTCTAACCCTCTCCCCAATAAAACCCCTGATGATAGTAAAGTCCAAATGAAAAACAGCCACAGTTTATTGTGTGATAAGTATAAAATATGATGGGTGTGGTAGTGTATGTCTATAATCTCAGCATACTTAGAGACTGAGGCAGGAGGATCAGTTGCAAATTTAAGCTCAGCCTGGACAATTTAGCAAGACCCTGTATCAAAACACATTTTAAAAGACTGGGAATAGCTCTGTGACAAGGCCCTGGATTCAGTCTTTAGTACTATCTAAAATTAAATAAATACAGTGGCGGGGGGGGGCTACAAAATGAGTAGATTCTAGTTAGGCCAGGCTTTTTCTTTTCTTTTCTTTGTTCAGTGCTGTGGATTGAACCCAGGGCCTCATACGTGCTAGGCATGCACTTTACCACTGGACTCTATACCCCTGAGTTTTGAATTTTGATCTTTTTCTGGACTAGCAATCTGCAGTATTGTATTCTCTTGCCATGTAGGGCTGAGGCTGCAAGCCATGGCTTATAGTGAGCCAAATGATCGTGCAATTCATTAACTGGTACTCTATAGTGTACTGCATTGCTAAGCTGTGCTGTTGAGTGGATTAGGTATATTAAGTGCATTTTCAACTTACATGTATTTTCAATTTACAATGAGTTTACCAGAGTATAACCCTGTCATGAGTTAAGCATCTGCAGTACATTAATACTTTTTTTTAAAATTTAATACTGGAGATTGAACCCAGGACATTAGCACTGAGCTATATCCCTGATCATTCATTCATTCATTCATTCTTTTTTAACCAGGGATCAAACTCAGGACCTTGCACTTGCAAGGCAGGTGGCAGCACCACTGAGTTAGATCCCTGGCTCCATTCATTCATTTATTAAGGCAGGGTCTTGTTATATAGCTCAAGCTGGCCTTGAACTCATTGTATAATACAGGCTGGCTTAAATTCTGTGATCCTTTTGCCTCAGCCTCTCAAGTGCTGAGATTATAGGTGTGTGCCACCACGCTAGTTTTATTTTTATTTTTTTGAGAGAGTTTTGCTAAATTCCCCAAGCTGGTCTTGAATTTGTGATCCTCCTGTCTCAGTGTCCTTAGTAGCTGGATTTACAAGCATGAGCCACCACGTCTGGCTACCTTTGTACGTGTGTGTATGTGGTGCTAGGAGTCAAACACAAGGATCTGTACATGCTAGGCAAATACAGGATTCCACTGCTGAGCTATACCTCCCACTAGCATCTGATGAAGGTTTTCTTGGTTCCCATCAGTTAGAAAGAATTGCTTTTCCTCTGAACTTGTCATGGTTCTTATTTATCATTTTATGAATTACTGTCCTAGAACCCATATTCTAGTAAGCTCCTGGAAGGTAAGGCCCTCCTTCAATCTTTCATAGTGTTTTTCACCTCTACTATCATGTCCCCCAATAAATAGTTGCTGAATGGGTAATTTCCCAACTCATTGAATGAGCATATTTCCTGACTTCATGGATATAAGGCCATGGTAAAAGAGATAAACCCTGGACCTTTAAGTCTGGGTGGAAATCACTTGCCTGTAAAACCCAGTGTTTACAGCCTTGCCCCTTGGCTTCCTGTACAGTGGGATAGAGAAAGGGTTCTGGCTAATTACTGTGCTTGTCTGCCTCCAACTTCGCTCTTCTCTCAATTTCTCAGTCTGTTCCCTCTCTGTGTTGTTTTCCTGTTGTCATGTAACACACCACTCCAAAACAGAATTATCTCTCATGGTTTCTGTGGGTCAGAATTTGGAAGCAGGCTTCAAGTTGCAGTCAGGAGTCTGAGATTGCAGTCATCTGAAATCTTGACTGGGGCTGGAGGATCTATTTGTAAGAATGTTCACACACATGACTGGCAGGTTGGTATTGGCATATTGGTCACTCTCCTGGTGTACTTCCAGAGGGCTGTTTGAGTGTTGTTACAATATGGTGGCCATGTTCCCCCCCAAAGATAATGTTCAAGACTATAGTCTAGAAGCAGAAACTATAATGCCTTTGTGATACAGCTTTGGAAATCACATATTGTTCCTTCCACCATATTCTGTTTGTTACATAGGCCTCCCTGATTTATTTGGATAAGAGATTTTGTATGAGTGTGGATATCAGGAATCAAGGGTCATTGGATTTGTAGGAGGCCATCTTGGAGGCTGACTACCGTATTCATCTGCAGCTATGATTCCCTAGTAAAGGTTAGTGAGCTAGTCATGGTTCATTTCATTCTTCAGTTTTTTACACCCCCCCAATCTAGTCTCCAAATTGTTGATACCAGAAGCATAGTTCTAAGTGTTCCTTATTAAGCATCTTAAGTAACTAAAATATACACCATCCTTGAGGGCAAAGACTATAATGTTAATTATCAGTGGTTTCATAAAAATATGACCACAGCTTAGTGGCCTAAAACAAAACATTTATTATCTCACAGTTTCTGTGGGTCAGAGTCTAGTATAGATTGTCTGGATCCTCTGTAAGGCTGCAGTCACAGTGTTTGTCATTCAAGGCCTCTCTCTCATCTCGGTTGCACAGGGAGGGATCTGCTGCTGTGGTAATGTTGTTGGTGACAGTATTAGGTTCCTTGCAGATGTGGATTGAGGGTCTCATTTTCTTTCTGTCTTTCAACAGGAGGCTGCCCTTAGTTCCCTGCCATGTGGCTCTCTCATAACATGTCAGCTTGCTTCTTCAGAGCTAGGACAACATATCTCTTGGGAAAGCAGATGTTAAAATATTAGCTCATATAACTGTGCAAGTACTCATGTGAAAAGCAGACCATAGGTCCCATTCAAAGGTGGGATTGTGCAAGGGTGTGAATATGAGGAGGCAGGAATCAGGTAGGCTGCTGTAGAATCTACCTGCTTTTACTTTGTGTCTTTAGCACACTGAGCATTGCATGATATGTGCATGGTAAGTTCTGATACTTGAATGGTTGGGTATAGTGTGACTAGTATTTGTTTCTGACTCTTAGCCTTAAGCCTTTTTCTCTGCTCTTTCAGAGTTCCTGATTTTTCTTGAGACAACTCTACTCTCATCTGTATCCATGGATGAACTTCAGGATGTTCAGCTCACAGAGATTAAACCACTTCTAAATGATAAGGTGAAGACTTACTGTTTTTCTCTGTCATCTGAATAGTAACTAACTCAAAACATTTAGCCTGTCAATGTAGAAAACACTTTTAAAAATACATTTCTTAACCCATTCTTTTATGTCTTCCCTCCTTTTATTTTATTTATTTTTGTTCCTTACTTTTGATTCCATAGGTGAAATTCAGTCAAGTTATCTTTGATATTTTTCTTGTTTTGCTGATAGAGATGTTAAGGAAGAAAATAACATGTAAAAGTTAAGTAGTAGTATGATGGTGACCTTTGCCTTATAATCTAAGTGCCTTTCAATTTCTATAAGGAAAATTTAATTGCTTCTTGGCCTTTTGGCTAAGATCAAGTATATAAGGGAAATTTAGTGTGTTTGATTAGTGATGCACAGACGCTGAAACTCTCCCTGAAGTTCTTAGATTTCATGATCTGACCTTTCTGTCAAAATCACATTTTTTCATCAGGATGCCTGGATCTCAGTTATACACTTCATTTTTATGTTAGTATTAGAGAATTTCAAGATGAGTGGCAGTAGCTGACAGCCTCAGGACTCAGCAAGTAGAATGGTGTGATATGAGATAGCAAAAAGCTGATCTTTCTTGCCCCTCTCTCTGTTCAGTCAATGTGTTGGAAATTCCCTCTTGTATATACCCTGTTCTTTTGGCTTTATCATTTTCCCCTATTAAAGTATTCTTGTAGCTTGCTGCAAATGAGTACACTGCATCCAGGAAAGAATTGATGCATAAGATGGGGGGGTACTGGGGGCACCATAAGATGATATTTTATATTATCTTTTTCTGCTCAGAATAAGGCCTTTCACAACTTCCAAACACACTTATGTGTGTTTACTGATTTGCTGTTGAATCCTGCCAGCCCAATTTTCACCCCGTGACCTCTTCATCTCTATTACTACCTCTTCCTGTACCTTTTGTCAAACTTTTTGCTCCTTTGGCAAGCTTCACACTTTTTAAAGCCCCATTTTGCTGATTTTCCTCGCATTTCTAGGAAACTTCCTCCTTGAAGTACTGTCATTTTATGTATGTGAAGGGCTATCCCCAAAATAATGTCCCATGAAGAGGAGGAAGGATATAAAGTCTGCACCTGGAAGCTGGTGTATAGCAACAAAAATGAATATTTACAAGGCAGGTAATTCCAGTGAGAAGCCAAAGTTGAGAACTGTGGACCACAGAGGGTGTGTGTGTCCTGGCCCCTCCCCCTTACATTCTGATTTGGTTGATCTAGAGTGGGACCCAGGAATATGTAGTTTTAAACAATTCCTCAGCTGATTCTGATCATTAACTAGGCTTAGGTTAGACTTAGTATAGGTTTTTACCTTTCTGAAGCTAAACTGCCTGTTCTCACCTGCCTTGTAAATTAACTGATGCCTAATTAACTTAGTCTAGCATGTGGTTGAACTTTTTAATTTTTATTTTTCCAGTATTGGATATTGGACCCAGGATCCAAGTGCTGTACCACTGACCTAAACACCCAGCCCTATTGTTTATTTATTTATTTGTTTATTTATTTATTTATGGTACTGGGGATAGAACTCGGGCCCTTGTGCTTGTGAGGCAGGCAGCGGAACAACTGAGCCAAATCCCTGGCCCCCCTTTCTTTCTTTCTTTCTTTTTTTCTTCCTTTATTTTTGGTACCAGGGATGGAACTAGGGACCTTGCGCTTGCGAGGGCAGGTGGCAGAACCACTGAACTAAATCCCTGGCCCCCCTTTTTATTTTTTTGAGACAAGGTCTCGAAAAGTCTCTCAGGCTCTCCTTGAACAATTTATCCTTCTGCCTCAGCCTCCTGAGTAGCTCCAATTGCAAGCAGGTGCCACCATGCCTATATTGATTGAGCTTTAAAAAAAAAAAATAGCTCCCAAGATTGAGAAGTGGATCTAAAGTGATTCTGACTAGCCAGTATTGAAAATCCATAACCTGGATTTCAGATATTTGAAGACTGGGACATAAATAAGGGAGCAGTCCTTCCTTCACCCTGGAAGTCCACAGAATGCCTGAAAAGATGCCTAAATGCAAGAGTTAGTTACCTGGAAGGCAGCTGGAAAAGGAAGGATTAGTAGATGCTTCCATAGAAAAGCACTAAATTAATGTGTGAGCCTCCTCTCTGAGACGCTTGGACTGTGTCTTACGTATACCTGAATATTATGGATTGAATTGCGCCATGCACATCTGTGTGTCGAATCCCTGTCCCCCACATTGAGACTTTGTGGAGATAAGGCCTTTGTATAAGTGATTAAAGTTAAATAAGGTCATAAAGGTAGAGCCTAATCTGACAGGATTGATGGTCTCTTCCTGGCTGCCATAGGAGGACCCACTGAGAAGGCAGCTGTTTATAAATCAGAAAGAGCAGTACCAAACCCTGCCAGAAGCTTGATAAAACTTACCAGCTTTCAGGACTATGGGAAAATACATCTCATCTCTTTTTTATGCCTTCCAGACTATGGTATTTTGTTTTGGCAGCTCATATAGACACATACCAAGCAATGTCTTGCTTCTAACATCCTTTGGCTCCTTTCTGATAACAGTGCTGTACCCACCAACTTCCCACGCTCCATCTTGCTTTTCTCTCCCTGAGACGTGCTATTGGCCTATCCCTATTCATGAGAACTTCCACACTCCAGTTAAATAAGTAGACAAGAGCCCCCTTTGGATGGTGGCATTACCACACAAAGAATTATACCCCATTAACCACCCACCCTCCCCAGTACATGAATGCTGTCAGTGCCCAGCGTTTGCATGTGTTATTAAAAGGTATAATAAAGAAAATGTTTCTCATCCATAATTTCATTTGATCTTCCCTACAGCTTAATGGAGTAGGGGCCAAAAGCAGATTTATCCATATTGCTGATGAATAAACTAAGAAAGGGATGTAGCTTTCTCAAATTGAATATCTTTGAATGCTTGCTATATGGTAGGATTTCTCAGTCTTGGTTGACCCTGTGATGTTTTGGGCCACATAATTTTTTTTTTTTTGAGCTGTGTAGCCCAGATTGGCCTTGAACTCCCAGTGATCTTCGTGCCTCGGCCTCCCAAGTGCTGGGTTTACAGGTGTGTGCCGCCATAATTGTTGCGGGACACTGTTCCCATGCACTGTAGGATGTTTTATACCATCCCTGGCCCTCTACCCACTAGGTGCCAGTAGCACCCCTAGTGGTGGCTACCAAATGTCTCTAGATGTTGTGAAATGTGCTGTGGGAGGGCAAAGTAGACATGGATGGGAATCACTGATATAAGAGAAAAGCCTACAGATTTAAATAGGAGTAGACACTGAAGAGTTTGATGGTAGTTTCTGTTTTCTTTCTTTTTATGCCTATTCTGCTATTGCTCATTTATTAAGCACCTTTTATGTGCCAGATGCCTTACATACATTCTTTCTTAATTCTCAGAGTATCCCTTTGAAGTAGATAGTATTATTCTTCACTCGGCAAATAAAAAAACCTTATGAAAGGTTGATAATCCCTGTCAATAAGTGGTAGAGCTGGGACTGAAACCCAGCCATTTTCTATTCTTAAAGCCTGAGACTTTCCTACTGTGCTGACCCTCTCAGTGTTTTGGCATTGCTTCTGGGTCGTGTTTTGTCTCTTTAAGGAGAAGCTCAGAGATTGATATTATTTCTCCCCACTTTTCTGTTGTCCTCATAAATATATTCTTAGCCAAAGATACTGCTGTACCCTTGCAGGCTTTAGGGATCTACAGGAGAACTAGACCCAAAATGTTGCAGAGAAATTTGACCTGAGATGACTAAGGAAGCGTTCTTAACATAGCTGTAAGTGAGACCTGTGTTAACTTGTCTCTTGTCATTTGTTGGTATTTTTCCCATTTTATTTTAGTATGCCTGTAATTTTGTCTACAGCTCAGAATTGTCAAGAAGTGGGCAATTTTGCTTGCTTATTTTGGCTCTAGTGATGAAAAGAAGTAACCACCAGTACTTATCTGGAGGGTAGAAATTGCACAGATGTATAAATGAATTTTTTAAAATAGCATTTCACCATTCTTGGAGTAGGTTTAGAGATATGCTAATCCCCTAACCTTTTAGAGTACTGAAGACGTTTCTAACTCCATTTTACAGATGAGGCTCACGAAGGTTACATGGTTTATCCAAAGCTAGTGTCTAATAGGTGGTAAAGTCAGTGCTAGAACCTACATCTTTGACTTTGTTCTCTTTCAGGGGTTTAAGGGTCCTCCTCCCATCTACTGACTCTTCCTGTTGGTTGTTCCAGCCTCCTCGCCCAGCAGATCTAGTAACAAGCAGAAGAGCTGACTGTGCTTCATTTTCCTTGCTTTCCTCTGTCCCTATTTAGGTTCAGCCAAATTTGATGAAAGCCAAAGCCAGGTGTGAAAAGACAAATAGGCCACAATGGACTTATGAAAAATTGAGGAAATATCAGTAAAATGAATAAATACCTAATGGAGAGAATGGAAACAAGTTATTTACTTTGTTTTTTGGGGGTTTTTTTTGGGGGGGTACAGGGGATTGAACCCAGGTCCTTGCACTTAGCAAGTCAAGCAGTGGCACCACTGAGCTAAATACCCAGCCCGTGTTTTGGTTTTTATAGTAAAATATGAGGGGAACCCTAGTGAAATTTAAGGCTTCTCTTCCTGCTAATGACTGGATATGAAAGCAGGGTGAGGGAGGAGGATATTAGAATTGGATGAGGGTGAACCCTGGAATCAGCATTTCTTGTAATCTGCAGGGCAGCAGAGAAGAAGGGTTTGCGCCTTGGTCACTTTAAAAAAAAAAAAAAAAGAGGCTAAAGAGCATGGCTCAGTGGTAGAAGACCTGGCCCAAAGGCTTGCAGGGGGCCCTAGGTTCAATCCCCAGAACCACAGAAACAAAGTAGCATTTGTGATTAGAAACAGACTTCCTGACATTTTTATGAGAGAATATTCGTGAAATGGCACATACGGTGTAGACTATAATAGGATGGGTGTCCTTCGGTGTGCTAAGAGGTGATTGTCACATCTGTTGTCAGAATGACCTAAATGTG